CTATTTTGGAAAGAGTATTAATTAAGAGATATAGGTATAGTTAAAATGTTTGAATGAAATACAATATACTTAATTACTACTATCGAGAAAATATAAAATGAATGGTTATGCGAAAAATTGATTATTCAAAATTTATTAAAGTGAAATTGAATATTACTATTCTTTGATGGAATTATTAAAAAATAATAAAATGTATTTATAAAAATTGTTGAAGATTTAATTAAACATGTGACATATACTATGTAAATAACCATCACTGAAAAATCTCAATTATATTAAGGAGAACGATAACCTTAAGACTCACTTCTTTAAATACAAAGAGGAAATTTCTTTTGAACATTAATAATATTTTTTAGTGATCTTTACGTATATTCTCACAACAACCAAAAATGTTTAGCAAATAAATAGTCTTTATAAGATACAACAATTCCAATTTCGACAACATTTATGCTATTTGGCGAGAAATTTTTTATCATCTTTGAGAGATATGATGTGAATGGCTCATTGAAGTGTGAAATCGAGTGATTTCTCTTTAGTGATGATATTCATATATTGGTACTATGAAAATACATTATCATATAAATATAATATTGGAATAAAGAAAAGATAATTGATATTTTATAAAAAAAATAATATCACATTTAATTGGTCAATGATTTTAAACAACACTAGATATAAGAAACACATTTGTCTAAAATTCAACAAAACCGCTTTACAAAGAGTAGAAGTTAATAGATATAGGTTTAGTTAAAATGTTTGAATGAAATAGAATATAATAAAATAACCCTAAGTTTCATCAGTTTGTGATACTTAATTACTATTATCAAGAATATATAAAATGAATGGTTATGCGAAAAATTGATTATTCAAAATTTTTTAAAGTGAAATTGAATCTTACTATTCTTTGATGGAATTAATAAAAAATAATAAAATGTATTTATATAAGTTGTTGAAGATTTAATTACACATGTGACATATACTATGTAAATAACCATCACTGAAAAAGCTCAATTATATTAAGGAGAACGATGGCCTTAAGACTCACTTCTTTTAATACAAAGAGGAAATTTCTTTTGAACATTAATAATATCTTTTAGTGATCTTTAAGTATATTCTCACAACAACAAAAAATGTTTAGCAAATAAATAGTCTTTATATGATACAACTATTCCAATTTTGACAACATTTATGCTATTTCGCGAGAAATTTTTTATCATCTTTATGAGATATGATGTGAATGGCTCATTGAAGTGTGAAATCGAGTGATTTCTCTTTAGTGATGATATTTATATATTGGTACTATGAAAATACTTTATCATATAAATATAATATTGGAATAAATAAAAAATAATTGATATTTTATAAAAAAAAATAATATCACATGTAATTGGTCAATGATGTTAAATAACACTAGATATAAGAAACACATTCGTCTAAAATTCATCAAAACCGCTTTGCAAAGAGTAGAAATTAATAGATATAGGTATAGTTAAAATGTTTGAATGAAATACAATATAATAAAATAACCCTAAGTTTCATCGGTTTGTGATACTTAATTACTATTATCAAGAATATATAAAATGAATGGTTATGCGAAAAATTGATTATTCAAAATTTATTAAATTGAAATTGAATCTTACTATTCTTTGATGGAATTAATAAAAAATAATAAAATGTATTTATATAAGCTGTTGAAGATTTAATTACACATGTGACTATACTATGTAAATAACCATCACTGAAAAAGCTCAATTACATTAAGGAGAACGATGGCCTTAAGACTCACTTCTTTAAATACAAAGAGGAAATTTCTTTTGAACATTAATAATATCTTTTAGTGATCTTTAAGTATATTCTCACAACAACAAAAAATGTTTAGAAAATAAATAGTCTTTATATGATACAACTATTCCAATTTTGACAACATTTATGCTATTTCGCGAGAAATTTTTTATCATCTTTGAGAAAAAATAGGTAAAAGGATGTTGCACATAATCATCATCGGTCATGCATATTCAACTTGTTTAAGACTAAGTGGAAAATTAATTTAAAAGCAAGTGCTAAAGAAGCAAGAGAAGGAGGTGGATCTTCTCTGGCTAATTTGAAAAAGTTGGGAGATTTATGGAGGCAGCATGCTCAATTATAAAATGTTAATATTGTTAGATCGGACATTATAACTTGCATTTGAATGTGAAATTTTACCAATAAATCATATGTGAGTTTGTAGTTCATCCACATAAGAAATCTTTAGAAATAAAATTTGAATGTTGTTTCTAAAACCAATAAATAGAAGTTCTAAAAGTGTGTAATGTAATGAGGAGTAAATTAAATTAGTGTGATGGATATTTTTTATGTAATGAAAAATGATGTTCATACATCAAATGTTGTATCTTTTGTTCAATATAGTGTGGTTGTTTTTTATTTTTGATATAATACTCTGGCGGTTTTATATATAATATTTTGATTTTGATTTTTAATCATTGCATTACACAATAAATTTAAATCAAATAGATTATATATAATCACCGCATCATACATAGTATACTATACATATTTCAATAACGCATAATTACATTAGAGTATCTTTAGTGAGAGTATCTTAAGTGGATAAGTTAAGATATTTTTTTGTGGGCGCAAAGTAATTTGTAGGATTTAAAAAGTTTATAGTTGATTTGAGTTGTTTTTACTTTAATGATAGTTGCTTATAAAAAACTAAAACTTGACCCTATATTTTATATTTTTTAATTGTAATTATTTTTTATTGAAGTTACCATTAATTTAATTATTTTAAATAAAATACATAAAATATATATTGCAAATTTTTTGTGGGCCCAAATTATATAGCATACGTTAGTTATATAATTGCCAAAAACTAAAAGTTAGTGAATTAAATGTCATGTCATAGTCATTCCAATGCAAATTCTGTATAATCATCGTTAATTATAAAAAATTTAACTATTAAAAACCTGCATTAAAGATGCTCTTAGTAGAGACTCTAAAGTTCATTTTAATCCAGGGTATAAATCATCGTTGATTCTAAAGTTTATTTTTAATGTGAATTGTGAAGTTTCTTCTTAAATCAATTGCTTAGTAGATACTCATAATTAGCAATGTTATCATAATTACTAATATACTTTTTCTATATTACTCGCCCTGTAACAGCTTGAGCTGCTAGCCTTCTTCTTGGTAGAGCTATCTCTAGTAGAATATGCAATGTTAAAGTTCCCTCATCAGTTAGCTGCAGCTGGTGCGTATAATGCTCAATGTGCTACTTATGGTTTTAAACAGTGGAGTAAGACATGTGAATGACACACCAACTACTCAGAAGATCAATTATTGTAAGCATTTTAAGTTCTTCTTTTTCATGTTCAAATTAAAATGTCTCTGTAGAAAAAAATACATATAGCTTTCGTATTTGAATAGAACTTTTGTTATGGATTTGAGTGTTTGTTTAGGTTCAATGTATAACCCTAGTAATAAAGAAAAGGAAGGTTCCTGTTAGGATCCCATATTGTCTAGGTGTGAAGCTTATGTATACCTTACAATATATCTAGCTCAAAACCATACATTAGCTAAGAATCATAATGGAGAAGAACTATCCATAAAATTTTATATCATATTAAATGAATTAATGTGTAATTTATATAGTGTAATTTAAAGATATGTGGAGACTATCAAGGGACTGAAATTGGGATCTCTATATTATTATGATACAGGTCACCAAAGAAAGCCTAGATAAAGTGATATCAATATGTGGACCTTACAGTGTTAGTCTATTTCATGCACTACAATTTTGTGATGCTCATCTTGGACACATTTTCAGTGATGGTCCTCCACCAACAGAAAGCGTTATTGTATCGACAGGTGAAAGAATCACTTGTTGAATTGAGTTTCCAACAATACAATAAAAGTGCTCATTAAAATCAGTGCCGAAAAATACAAGTATGAAATAGTACTAAAGATAATAGCTCTTAATTTTTTTCAACATTGAGATCCCTAAAAAACATTAAATTATTCCAAACACTATAGACAGTGACTTCAATTCAGGTTTTTCAATTCAGTCAGAGAAAAAAAAGGGTGCTAAGAATGGAAAGAAGAATCTGAATGTGAAGCCACAGAACTTGAAGCAAAAGAGGAACCAGACAACAAATGGTGGAAGCAGAAGAAGCTCCATTTATATAGGAGTTACAAGGTTTGAAATTGAATCACTTTTTTGATTACCCTCTTGAAATTTGATTTCATTTGCATTTGGCTTATTTTGGTTTGATCAAATTAGACATAGGTGGACTGATAGATTTGAAGCTTATCTTTGGGATAAGAGTTCTTGGAACAACATTCAGAACAAGAAGGGAAAACAAGCTTAAAAGTTGGAAAGAAGGGATAAGAGTTGAAGCTCATCTTTGGGAAGAAGGGATAAGAGTTGGTAATTGTTGAGTACCCGTATGTTGAATGTGCTAATGCTGCTCAAATTTATAAGAAAGTGACATCTGTAAGTGCACTGTTTTCAAAATGCTAGGACAATTTTACTTTAAGAGAACATTTAATAGAACAGTGATATTAGAATTTTCAACTCCAATCACAATGCTGATGAATTTAGGATTTAATCTGAAAGCTATATAAGTTTTTAGAGACTAAGGTTGTCTGGAACCTTTTAGAATTTGAATAACACATCAATTTAAGCATCAACTTGATGAACTCACTTCTTGAACCAAATAGATTATCGTTGTCTTATACCATTTGTGATTATGTAGTTATTACTCATTGGTGAAAAGAAAAAAAAATGAAAAAAATTTCTAAAACCAAATAGGTCCCTGTTGTCTCTCTATCATTGCCATGATTATAGTTTTTGTTTAATTTCCAATAGGGAATAAAGCCAGCATCATTGGCAAAAGTAAATGATCCTGAAGTTAGAGCCTTTATAGAAAAGTGTATTGCTCATGTATCACAACGGTTGCCTGCAAAGACTCTCTTGATGGATCCCTTCCTTCAGTAAGATTTTGATGGCGACAGTGTCGGTCGATCTTCGAGATTTAGAACCCAACATTCAGGTAAATATACTTTACATTACAAAGTACCAAATTAACATTCTACTTTTGTTTACCATCCAATGTATCAAAATGCAGGAAATAAGTTTGATGATCTACCCATTGCAAAAAGTGCCAAGGATAACTCTGTTGAGGCAAATAGGGAATTCACTTTGGAAGGCCAAAGGAGAGAGGAGAGATGTTAATACAATATTTTTAAAACTACAAATTGCTGATTCCTCAGGTATTCTCTTGAGTTTGTTTTTTTTTTCCAAAGAAAGAGAGCATCTATTTGCTTTTTCATGGTTCTGATGTCCATTTGCTTCTAGGCCATATTCGAAATATCCATTTCCCTTTCGATATTGGAGCAGACACTTCAGTCGTTGTTGCCAGTGAAATGGTTGAGGAGTTGGAGTTTAGTGATCAAGATGTTTCTACCATTGCAATGACAATTGACTCAGAGAGTAGCTATAATTGCAAGCTTTAACTTTATTGTATGGTAGCGTAAATCCTGTTTTTGACCACATAAAATTTGTAACAGGGTGAAATATAAGAATTTTTATTTAATTGAACTTTGCAAATAAGTCATGGTTTAAACTTTTATATAAATAAAATTTTTTTAATAATATAACTCTAGAAGTATTGTTATTGACTTTATAGTTATGTTTGGTTGCTTTAAAAATTTGAATGTGATTAGTGTTGCATTGTCTTATTCAAATTAGATATTTGTTTTTATATTATTATATTTAACAATAATTATAATATTTTAAATATAAATTAAACAAAATTAACAACAAAAATTGAAAACATAAGAGAGAAATTACCCGCGGATTTTTAGTTTGCTGCGATATTTCCTGCGAAAATTTCATTTACCTGCGTTGTTATCTACGAATTTATCTATTTTACCTGCGACTCTTTTCTACGATTTTTTCCTGCGACATTTTCCTGCGACTTCACCTAATATTAATTACCCACGAAGGTTTTAGCTGGAAACAGAAAATAGCAGAAAGAATTGCAGGTAACACGTTTTCTGCAGAAATTTTGGTAAAATCCGCAGAAAAACAGAGTATTTCTAGTAGTGTTATACCATATCTGCCATATTTGAAGGTGAATAACGGGCTTCCAAATGGTATCTTCATTATGGATAAGTCTACACAACCACTTCGATAACAAAGCCTTATTAAACACTGAGATATTTTTTATTCTCAAACCTCCAAATTCCTTTGGTTTGCAAATTGACGACAAGTTGACCCAATTCATTGAAGAAGCCTCCAACGAGCCACATCAAAAAAAATGTTCAATGCGTTTAAAAGTTCTCAAACATATGCTTAAGAATTCATATATATATATATATATATATATATATATATATATATATATATATATATATATATATATATATATATATATATATATATATATATATATATATATATATATATATATATATATATATATATATATATATATATATATATATATATATATATATATATATATATATATATATATATATATATATATATATATATATATATATATATATATATATATATATATATATATATATATATATATATATATATATATATATATATATATATATATATATATATATATATATATATATATATATATATATATATATATATATATATATATATATATATATATATATATATATATATATATATATATATATATATATATATATATATATATATATATATATATATATATATATATATATATATATATATATATATATATATATATATATATATATATATATATATATATATATATATATATATATATATATATATATATATATATATATATATATATATATATATATATATATATATATATATATATATATATATATATATATATATATATATATATATATATATATATATATATATATATATATATATATATATATATATATATATATATATATATATATATATATATATATATATATATATATATATATATATATATATATATATATATATATATATATATATATATATATATATATATATATTATTCCTCCAACGTCTGCGTATTTCACATGAGCACCTTCATCGGAGGCTTTGTTGTTGGAAAAAAACTAGAGCATTTCTTTTCATTAGAGGAAATGTTGGAATGGGTTCTTCCGATGCTGATGACGACGACGAAGAACGTTGATTTAGAAATGCAGACATTCTAGACTCCACTCAACTCAAAATTTTTAAGACTTCAGTCTTTTGGTATACAATATTGTGGAAACATATATGTGTTTGCAGTCGTATTTATAGAAAAATAAAATAGTATGTGCCCCATATGATATGTCTTAAATGCCCTTACAAATTTTCTATACTTTTTTTCAACAAATACCAACATTTTCAACGAAATATATAAAAATATCAAAATTCAAATGTGGCATACTATTATATATTTTAAATTTATATATTTAATTATATACAAATTATATTTTAAAAATATATGTTACTCATATATTTATTATATTTTAAAATTTATACCTATTTATATTTATTATGTTTAAAAATTATATAAAATTATATTTATTATTTTATAGAACTATATCATTAAAACTATATTTATTGTTTGATAATTTAATCCAATTTTTTGTGATATAGTTTACAACAATACTAATTATTAAACAAAAAATATAAAAATATAATTTAATAAAAGCAATGTAAAAAAAACTATATTCATTGTTTCATAAAAACTATATTTAATTGTATTAATAATTTAATTATTTCATAAACGCAATGTAAATATATTTAATTTATGATATATTTTATAAAACTATATTTATTGTTTCATAAAAATTATATCACAAAAAATATATAAAAATAAAATTAAAAAATGGTTCATAAATTCGCAAACCCTAAACAGAAAAAAGAATTAAATGGACCAAGTCGCCATATGGATTGACGACTCCACTCCAAGCCCATGACTGTGCCGCCATCTCAATAGGCGAGTCCATATAAATTAGCCTGAGTCGCCACATCAATTGGCGACACGAGATTGAAATATAGTCATTTTCGACAATTATTTAAAATTTTGATTTATTTAGCATTTTTTTGAATAACATGATTATATTAAAAAAAATTCTAAACTTACAACTTTGATTAAGAGAAAAAATATTTAAAATAAGTGACTATAAAAAAAAGTGATTATTAAAATAAGCTAAAACGGCTAATCCTACTGATTCGGGTTCCGACTTATCATCGACTATTATAACATCAATCCCTAAACAACTCTAATCCTATTCGATTATGATACTAATCAGACAAGCACTTACCAACATCAAATGAATTATGTTCCTGTTTACCGAATTAAGCAAACAGTTAAGAATATGACGAATTAACGAATTAAGCAAACGATAACACGCAATTAAATTTAGGAACATGCATACAATCGAATTTAATCAATTCTATTCTATGAACAACAATTGAATTAAGCAAACAATTGCAATCAAATTAGCAAATAACTTCATAGAAAAGGATTGAAAGGAATCAGTTTAAATTGATATTATAATAACCTCAAAGTGTTGAAACCGTACACAACACGATTTGCCCGGAGGTATTAATTTTCCATGAGTTCTTCTCAAACCTTTCTTTCAATTTTTTTCGTGAATAGTATATCATTAACAGTAAAACAAGGTTTCCCCTAAAAAGAAAAACAATGGATCTGGTTCAAAACCCAACTGGGTCGAAAATATAACCCAGACCCAAAACATGACTCAAAACTAAAACAAATTCCTAATGATGTAACTTCAATAAATTTTTTGGGAAAATATGCTCCGAATCTGACTTCGACTCCAACACGAAAGTCGTAGCTCTCTCTCTTAGCTTTCCGGCGATTTTCAGAACGCCTCAAACGGATTCTCGGAACTCCAGTTATGATCGTTTCCGCGCAGACTGCTAAAGCTGAAAAATAAAGTGCGAAAATCAAATTAAACCAAAAATAAAATAAAATATAAAAATATAATAAAACATAAGAATAATCAAAATAAAGTAAATAAATGCCTAAGTAAAAATATAGGAGAATGTGCATAAAGATGCACTGATCAAATTCCCCCACACTTGAACTTTTGCGCTCCCAGCAAAATTAAAATAAAACAAAACAAAGAAAGTACAAACACATCAACAGTTACTCATTTCAGGCTGTAAGTCTTCTTCGGTTAAGTTTGCATCGATAGGTAATAACTGTTGCACCCTAAAATTTGACCAACCGGCCCTAATATCTGGTTTATGTTTCGGCACATTTTGCATTCGCATTCGCATACGGCATGCATTGCATTTTTATCATTCAGATTGGTTTTTATCGGAATTATAGCCCCTGACGTTTCAGGCAGTTCAGGACGGTCGAAATAAAAGTCTGTTGAGAATTGGTGCTCGTTCCTGGTGTTTTCAGGCAATCTCGGTGCCCGGGTTTCGTTGCGGTTGTGTAATTGGGTTTTAATCGGTTTAATCGGCCTCCTGGCATTTTTAGGATTTTTTCTGTCATTTTTCTGGATTTTAATGTACTTAATTGGATTTTTCTGGATTTTATAGGGTTTTCTAATATTTTTTAGAGTTAAATAAATTTTCTTTTCATTTTTTAGAAATTAATAGGTTTTTAAAGAATTTCTAGATATTAAAGATTTTTAATAAATTTAGATATCAATTTTCTTTTAATAGTTAATAGACAAATAGTTTTTTTCTTTTAAAAAGAGTATAAAAATAATAATAATAGATAGTGTTTTTAGATTAGAGTTTTATTAAAGAGAGAATTAATAAAGAAAAATAATAAAAGGGATAGTATGATTTTTTAGATTTTTAATTGTTTTTCAGAATATTAAATAGATATTAAAGATTTTTAGATTTTTGGTTTTTATTTTTATTTTCATTTTTTCAGAAGTTAATTAGGATTTTAAAAAAGGAGGCTTCTTAGATTAAATAACAGTTTTTTTAAATCTTAGACTTAATTAGGGTTTATCTTTTTTTATTTTTCGTTAATAGATTAATTAGGGTTTATTAGGTTTTAATTAGGTTTAGTGTTTAATTTCTGTTTTAGTTAATTAGATATGATTAGAGGTTAATCAGATTTATTTTGATTTTAGTTTAGATTTTAATTAGGTTTAGCTTTAACCAGTTTTTTTTAATCTGAGATTAGTTCAAATGGGCCCATTATCCAACTATCCAGTCCAAGCCCAGAGTCAAAGGTCCATTTTTCGCAGTGCCACATGTCAGTATAAAACGCGTGCCACGCGTAGGACCCAAGGTTCACCACCTCATTCCCTCTCTCACCCTTATCCTGCCACGTTTCCCTCACTCTCTCTCAGAGTCCACACACGTGGCTCTCTCTCTCACCACCACACATCACAACACGCGTCCATCCCTCCACTCCCCTCTGACTCCACCTCACGCATGCGCGCCACTTGTCCACCCACCATCTATCACCGGAGAACCCAACCGGCCGGCA